TGCGGAGGTGGGTGGTGAGGGGTGAGGGGAGGGGGAGGCCGGTATGAGAGGGGGTTAGGGGGTGGGGGGTTGTGGTGGTGGTGGTGGTGTTGGGGAGGGGGGAGTTGAAGGGCCGTGAGGGGGGTGCGGTGGTGGCTTCGGAGTAGGAGGGGGGCGCGAAGTTATCGGCGGGGTCGCCCATCTTGAGGGTGGGTTGGGTTTGGCTCGGCGGTGTGGTGATCGGGAGGTTGTGTGTTGTTGGTGAGGTCGTTGTGGATGGTCTGCTCAATGCTATTACCTGTGGCGTTGGGGGACGGACACCGGGATTGTGGGCCCCTTTTGAGGTTGGAAATGCGATCAAGTCTTGACCTGTCGAAACGAGGATCCTGCAGATAACGCCAGTTGGGTTTAAGTTGCGCTTTTTGGTTGGCAAAAGTTTGCCTGTGGCCGCAGGATGATGTCGAGCTGTATCCGGAACAGAGGTCAGTCTGGGGAGTGACATCAAAGGGCAAGAATCGGGGCCCACACACATGGTATTGTCTGTGCCCCGTGTTGTTCAAGACTGTTCTCGGCCTCGCGTTGAGAACTTGAAGAGCGCGAATATTGCCAGGTATAGTTGGCGAGATCTCCGAGGGAGCCGCGGCCATGTGACTCCTGAAGGATGGCGAAGAAAGGGTTGATCTCGGTTGTCCTGGAGCCAGAGAGTCTTGTGATGTTGAAAATGGCCGTTTGAACCCCGCAGATGCCCACAAAGCCATGCAGTGCCTTGCAGATGGCCCATGGGGGCCGGGATCCGGGGGCTGTGCAGGGGCACCCCGCGGAGTTACACAGTAAGGGTAGCAGTGCGAATCCAGTCGCCAAGTCAGTGGGGGGTCCCAATGTGGACCGCTGAGAAAACGTGGGTGCTTGGGCGCTTTCCTGCTTCGCTTCTCTGTACCACATCCGGAGACCGGCGACCAGGCACTGCAGGGCAATGCAAGGCAGTCCATAGACAAGGCAGATATGACGGCTGCAGCTGCTCTGCTTGAAGCTTTGGTTGTTTCAGGTGATTACTCCAAGTTTGAGACCGAGCGGGAGAGCTCTTGATGTTTTCGAGTTCCGCATTGGGATGATACAGCAGCTTGACAGCTTGAGCAACGGGCATGTGGCCGAGCTTGAGGTGTTGTGGCACTTCAACCACCAAACACGGACTGCGGACCTGCATCCATCAACCTCCATCAACTCCACTGGCTGCTCCAATGTGCTTGTGTCCTTGTTAGTGGCCCACTTGTTTCGCTTCCGAGGTGAGCTTTACCATTTACGATGCCATCATGGATAGATGACGGGAGTTGAGGTTGAGTTGGGTTCAATCTGAACGTCAATCGCCATGACTTCAGCCCAAGGCACATTCTCCGGGCTGACACCTGATTTTCGGTGTCTGAATCGATAGCGCTCGGTCTGGGCTGGGCGACGCACGGAACATTTCGGGTGCCATCTGATGTTCTCCCTGGACTCGAACCAATCCCTACCTGGAAATGACGGCTGCATTTGCTGCTTGTCCGGGCTTTATCCCTTTCCGTATTATTCCCTCAACAACGAAAGGCCCAATGCAGTTTACCCGTGATTGGGACACCAAAGTTGGGCGTCAAATGGCTTGCAAACAGGTGCTCAGCCACAATGGCCGTGATCCCCCAGAGCCACAAGGCAGATCCATTTGTCCAGCGCTTCCGTCATAGCCGTCACCCGGTCAGGTGAGGGGCTGTTCAGGGCCCAAGAGCTTTCGTGTGGGGACAGCCAAGCACAGCCAAGCAGACCAAGCGGACCAGGAACAAGGATGTAGCTCAAGGCTGTGCTTGCAAGTTGCGGCTCCGGGTGGTACGAACACATCTGGCATCGGATTGTGATCAAAGACAAACATACATTTAAAGAACCATCACCTCCGCTCTGTTGTCTACCTATCCAGCCACAGCATCGTAATATCCTTTGCCATTGCATCCTCCTATCAGGTCTCCTGAGATTCTGACCACAGTCCAGCTCTTTATTACACCATCTTCGCTGTCGACCTGTCTTTGGTCGACTTTGCTTCCGCGCTTGACTCGCCGTTTGCTCTCCGCGTTTGGCCCCGTCCATCGCCCAATTTCAACCAGAAAACCATCACCTTTTCATCGCCCCAACAGTCAAGATGGCCTCCTACAGGGTAGCAGCCCCCAATGAGTACCTTGCCATTACTGGCATGGGAGTCAAAACTGTCAAAATCACCAAGGCGGCATGGGTTTGGCCCTTCCAGCGCTGCATGCGCTTCAGCGTGCAGCCACACGACTATGCCATGAACCTGCAGGCCATGACCAAGGAGAAGCTGCAGTTCCTGCTTCCTGTTGTCTTCACCATCGGCCCCGACGTCAACCAGCGGGGCGCCAACTCGAGGCGCCTTAACGACCACGATCCACACTACGCGGGTGCCGGTAGCGAGGGCGCCCCTGCCGCCGACGACCATGTCCTCGACCACCGCCGCGAGGATCAAGGGGACTCGCTGATGAAGTACGCTATGCTGCTGGCCGATTCCGGCTCGTCTAAGGGGAACGACCGCCAGTTCCTCGAGAACATCGCCAAGGGCATCATCGAGGGTGAGACCCGTGTCCTGGTGTCCAGCATGACCATGGAGGAGATCTTCACCGAGCGCGAGGTGTTCAAGCGCCGCATTTTCCGCAACATCCAGGGCGAACTGGACCAGTTCGGCCTCAAGATTTACAATGCCAACGTCAAGGAGCTCAAGGACGCACCCAGCTCCAACTACTTCGAGTCCCTCAGCCGCAAGGCACACGAAGGCGCCAGCAACCAAGCCAGGATCGATGTCGCCGAGGCGCAGCTGCGCGGTAACGTCGGTGAGGCCCAGCGCAAGGGCGAACAAGAGCGTGAGATCGCCAAGATCCACGCCGAGACGGCCGTCCGCAAGACCGAGCGGGACATCGAGCGGGCCTCGGCCGAGGCCGTCCTCGCCACCCGCAAGACGGAGCTCAATCGCGATGTCGAAATCTCCCGCATCGCAGCCACGCGCCGGACCGAAGCCCAGGACGAAGACCTCAAGCGCGAGGTGCAGATCAAGCGCGCCGCCGCCGAGATGGAACGCCTGCGCGCCAGCGACGTCGTCAAGGCCACCATCGCGCGCGAGGCCAAGCAACAGGCCGCCGACGCGCACGCGTACGAGGTCGAGGCCGAGGCCAAGGCCAACTTCGAGAAGGAGAAGCAGCACGCCGAGGCGGGCGTGTACAAGCTGAAGATCGACACGGACGCGGCCGCCTACAAGACCAAGCAGGACGCCGAGGCCTGGAGCTACGCCGCCATCAAGAACGCCGACGCCAACCTGCAGAAGAAGCTCAAGGAGGCCGAGGGTATGGCCGCCATGGCCGACGCCTACGCCAAGATGAGCGCCGCCTTCGGCGGGCCCGCCGGCCTGCTGCAGTACATGATGATCGAGAAGGGCACCTACGTCGAGCTGGCCAAGGCCAACGCCGAGGCCATCCGCGGCCTGCAGCCCAAGATCAGCGTGTGGAACACGGGCGCCGAGGCCGGGTCTGGTGGTGCTGGCGAGGGTGGCAGCAACCAGAGCAGCGCGGCCGCCATGCGCAACATCTACCAGATGCTGCCCCCGCTCATGACCACCATCAACGAGCAGACCGGCATCACCCTGCCCGAGTGGCAGTTTGGTCGCCTCGCCGGCCAGATGTCCGAGGCTGAGCGTGCCCAGGCTGTCAAGTCCGCCGCCAAGAAGTGAGTTGAGAATTGAGGATAGGGATACGAGGAGGATAGGGATAGGATCGAAACTGCGGACAGCGGATGGGATTCCGCCACACCATCATTTGTGTTTAATATCAGATTGTGCTTTTTGTTTGTTGGTGGGTGGCATAGACTGGGCATACCGGTAATTGGAGGGGTGGGGTGGGCGGCGTTGATGGACTGGCACGCATACCCCTGAGTTTTTGTTTGTCTTGATCTTTGAGTTAATTACCTGGAGTTAGCACTCCGCCACATATTTCCATATGTTGAATTTATCACAGAATGGTAGTTCCCATTGCACTTAACATCTTCGAACTCCATTGTTACGAGCCGTGGATTGGTCGCTGGCAACTAAAGCCATCTACATTACATGGAACCACCCACGCTAGCCACGCCCTGCCCATTCTCTTCGCCGGTTACCTGCACCAGCTGAACCCTCTCTATCTATTAAATATTCTTGCCAACTACCAGAGCAAGCTATTCATCCGTGGTGCACGACCTCCGCCGACATCTACTTCCTGCCGAAAAGCGAAGGGACTTCGTACTGAGTACGGATCTTGAGGACAAAGAGCTGGTCGCAGTTGGCCACAACAGGCTTGCGCAGTTCCACCTTCCAGGTAGAGCGGCCACCGTTTCCCTGGTCACCCTCGTGGCTAGAAAAGGTTAGTATGTACAACAGTAAAAGCCCACATCTCAACAAAGGATTCTACGCACCTAAGACAAGCAGCGACAACCTTGCCAGTCATCCCCAACTTAGCCGCCGCCTCCTCGAGGATACCGATCAGGTCTCCCATCTGGTACTCGCGGTACACCACACGGTTGGAGAGGAACTCCACTTCAACGCTGGGGTTGCCCCTGGAGGGCTTTGCGGGGGGCGGCGTCTCCGTGTTCTTCGCGGCCACGGCGGCCTTCAGAGCCGCCGCAGCCTTCGAGGTGCCGGGACCGGAAGTTACGGCTTGCGCAGTCCTCGAGTTGCCAGCGGTGGTGTTCTTGGCGGCACCAGTGCCATTGGTCTTAGCGGCGCCATTGCCAGTGGTCTTGTTGGCGCCAGTGCCGGTAGTCTTGGTGTTGTTCATGATGACGTCTTGAAGTAAGCGTACTTAGTGGACGAAAAAGAAAATCGATAAGAAGCTCGTGATGTAGCTGATGATTGTGATCTGTGGAGTGAAGGGAAAAGCCAGCCGGAGGAGAAAGCGGACTTCTTATACCTTTGGTCGACCCCTTTTCCAAGAGGTGTATCTCAAGTCGTTGAGATAAGGATTTAGGAATCCACCATTCCGGCAACTACTACCGGGGGCCCGGTCCGGCTCCGGCTCCGTTCCCATAGTTTAGGCAGGTTTGAGTTTTCTGACGAACAGTCTCAAATGCCGCTCGATTCAGTCAATCGCGGCCGGGCACACGAAACTTTCCCTCTTGATCTGACATCACGTCGAGGTTAGCTGCTCCATGAACCTGGGTTCTCCAGGCAAGACGTTTCAAGTCCGGTAGGCAGCCGGAAAAGCTTGGTGTTTCCGATAGCTCGGATCGTGGTGGAGCCATTCAACATAGTGTAGAATGTTGGCCGTGGGGGTTTGCTGCGCCGTTCGGCTATGGCCGCCTAACTTGGCATGCTATTGCCTGTCATCCCGCCGACCATGTCAGCATCTTGTATTTAGTTGATTACCTACCTACCTGTAGGTATGCCCTAGTCAGATGACAAATCCAGTCGAGAGCTCTTTGTGTCAGGCTTGTAGCAAACGCCACACGGCCCGCCACATACCCCTGATCATTTGTGTACTCTGTGGATCGTGACATGGTATTACACGATGCTTTGCCCCTTCCATACGGCTACCTCCCCACCCATTCCGTCTGCGAATCTTATAACCCAAACCTACCACCTCTCCACAAAACCCATTCATTCACTCTCACTCCGAAAACCGTTCCTCCCAAAACCTCACCACCACCCCCCGTCTCGCCAAACCCACCACCACCCCCCTCACCTCATCCGCCATCCCCACCGGCCCGCACACCACCACCGTCGTCCCCCCCTCTACCCCCTTCTCCTCCCCAACCAACTCTCCCTCCAACAACCTCCTCACATCCAACCTCTCCCCCACGGCAAGCACCACCTCCACACCCCCCCCCCTCAGTTCCCGAATATCTATTGCAACCAAAGGGTATAGGGAGCCTCGTATGCTCTATCCCCGGCATGCCAGTGTAGCTCCCCGCCTACCCCACCGCCACCGAACTCA